GAATTTTAATTCGAATTGGCAGACAGTTTCAGCCGGTCGAATTGGCAGATGGCGAATTGGGAGTGAATTGGCAAACAACTTCAGCTTGGTGCACAGAAGCCAGAAACATCACGAGCGATTCAGCTGCCATTTCGCCAAAGAGGAAGTTATCCTACAACGATAAATCTTCAACGATTGCAATCATCACCAACTGCAAGAGCAAAAGGTACCATATAAAGACCTGGTAGTAATCTATCTCATTCAAGCCGAGGGAGTGGTCGTAGACCAGCGGATTCGCTACCGGTGTTGTCGAAGCCTGAACGACCAAGTACCAAAGAATTGCTGAGACGGCCCCAGAGTCTGCTGGCAAGAAGACCTCAGAGCGAGCTCTCTCGTTTTCAAAAGGACTTTCGTTATATTGATAAACAATGCTTCTTTTACCCGGCTAACGAACCAGCCAGGAGCTTCTTCGTTATAAGTCCTGACTGGGTCTTGAAACGCAAGAATTACTTTACCAAGAAAAACACTTTGTTTGGTTGAAAATGCAGGTCAAGAATTTTACGATGAGCCAAAACACTTCTATCGCAACATTTTTTTAAAGAATGATGTGCCGACCGGCAGAGGGCATTAACACACATCCCGTTAACGAAATAATGAAGGGAACTTTTATTTCCTTTCTGAATATCCTTAACAAACTTAAGAAAGGGCAACCAAGACGGCAAATCTTACTTCACACCAATGAGCAAATTACAATGCATTGCAAGGAAACTAGCTTTTATTAAACCAAATCTAAACTTCCAGGAGTGCCTGCCATGCATTTATATGATCAATATTACGAACCGCTCTGAAAAAAGACTTCGCATGTGGGTCTATTAACCCAAAACTCTGGACTTCTGAGGCCCTGAAGCGTAAATTGAGCAGCGTATTGTAACACTGAGATTGAACTATCAACTGAAAATCGTTGAAAGGAGCCAATCCATTATGACCGCTGCTTAAAATATTGTGGAAGTTTGGTAAATTGTAGTGCTTTCTTTTGCCAGCTTGTTGAATGGAATTTTTATTTAATATTCACTGATTATCAATGCAGCTTAAAAAAATATCAGTTTGCTAAATAAAATTGCACACTGTGTTACGTGAATCGACTGTGTCAAGATATACCCCCTTCAGGATTACGAGGGTCCACAAGAGGGTTCTCAGATCCCGCTTTCCCG